CAACTCGTCCGAATACGCATCCAGCGTAATCGTAGCTGTATGAACACATGTATGAAACATCAAGGCAAATAGTATGTCAACACAGTAGTACGTTTGGAGACTTCATTCACACAGGTAGTGTTTAAATTGGAATACAATTATTAAACATAATACTATCTAAAACGTCAAGAAACGACTGAAGAAGAAAAAAGAACAATTACAGTAAAGTTACATAATATGTGTAAAACGTTACGTAACATTTCTGAAATTCTGAATAGACTAAAATCTACGAGTCAACGTGACAGAAAAACAGTAAAAAATAATCCAAGAAGTGAACGGCCACAAAAGGTAAGTAAATATAGTAGCCGATTGATACGTCACGAAATAAAACAAAATCTAAAGACAAGTGATAACAAATTAAAAAGAAAATTGAATCGTACAACTTTGTTGAAGTTAATAGTTGTGCCAACACTTTGTGCACTCAGTGTATATTGATTTTGAACCTGAAATAATATTCGGATTTATGTATGTACATAAGTACATTACATTTTTAAACGATTGATACATCTTTGGCGATAAAGTACAAGGAAATTACGAAACGTATTCACGGAACGTTATAAACATTTCAAACTTGGCGGTGTGTCGCCGTATTACCTGTATTTATCGCGAAAATTCCTCAGATTCGAAAATAGCATTTCATACGCACAACAGGTTTTGCGTGTGAGTACGTGAAAACAAATTTGCTAGTATCCACGGACTGGTCGTCAAGGATTCACTAACTGTTTGCGGTCTTCTTTTTTTATAATACTTAAGACTTAGATGCATAACTCAGCTTTTTTGTGGAAGAAGTCTTTATAAATTTTAAAAATTCCCATCTACAAAGGGTTAACACTAACCGGTCAAATGACTGAATTTAAAACTCTGCGTTTTGTTTCACTCAACTTTATATCAATTCCAATATTATCCGATTAATCAGTTTTTCAATTTTTGTCTTTCATTTTGTTCCAGTTTGCATTTAAAAAAATGTATCGTCTAACTTGTTTGTCATAGGAAAAGTGCTGGTACGGTTAGTGTTAGAAATATTAATTTCTAACTCTTTTCTTTATTATTTAAGTAACATCACTTCTTTGTGTAGCTATAATCTCAATATTCTGGTGACAAAAAAAAATATCAAGCGTTCACGAATATTTTCTGTAAACCATTGTTTACAAATTATTAACCTCAACGTAACTTTTCACAATTTGTCACTTTTTCATTTAAATATGAAGAAGTTATTACGAACTCGTTATTTCTTATTCAATGAAAAAGAACTGTGCTCTTTGCAAGTAATTATGAACTGTTATTTTAAAACACAAATTTTTCCTTTTTGTATAATCTTTTCGTAGTAACTTTCTATTGTTTCAATAAAACATGATATTTTGTAATGTTTCCATTGCATTTTGACGTGCTAAATTACTAATGTACACATAAGGTAACATTTAAGCTTTACTGGAAATCATGTGAAATTATATTAATTCATCAATTAAAAAAACATAAATATACATGAAGTACAAAACTTATTTCAAAACGAAATAGATAAAAAGTAACTCATACAAATAAGTAATAAGTTAAATTTTTGTATGATTTGACGTTAATTGTAGACACCGTAAAATATAATAACGCTGAAAAAATGGTTCACATAGTATATTTCTTTATCAAAGAAACAAATGAAAGCCCATATGATGGAAAATGCAATCGAATAGAAAGTTAACATAAATTAATAAGTGGTGTTAAAAATGTTAAGGAACTTGTTTTGAAAAAATTCGTCTTTAAATTTGTGCGGTATGTGTTCGAAAAATTGAGATAAAACATGAGCCGTGCTAAAATAGTATCCGGAGGTTTTCTTGGTTGGAGCGGTTGGCCTTTCCTAAGTTTTTTGATTATTCTTGGTGTGCTTGCTTATCTCGGATTCAATTTATACAAGAAATGGCTTCCTGGAGGTGGCGGAGAATAAATATTAAACAAGAATAATTGTAAAACACTTCCATTTTACACGGTATTTATTTGGATTACATTTTATTAAACATTCTGTTACGTACAATTTTCTTTTATAATATTAATTTGTAAATTTATTATATTTTATATTTTATTTATTTATTTACAAAATTCATATATATTAAGTTAATTGAAATATTCTATATTTATTAATATACTTTTTATCTTAAACGTAAGAGAGTCATCGTTTTTCTTTTTTCCTTTATTATTAATTAATACATAAAAGATCCATTTTTAACACTATAAGTCAAGGTTAAATATTAATGTATACGAACTTCGCAACTTGGGGAAAAAGGTTAAAAAATAATCATACTCATGATTACGTACGCTACTTTGATATGTTAAATTCGCATTTAGAATTTTATTTATACATTCATATAATTTTCTTATTTATAACTGCTATAACAAAATTTGATGGAAACTATCAAAATGTCTTAAAATAAGAAATATAATGTTCAATATTCTCTGTTAAATAGTAAAACTATCGTTTGCTCTTTACCTTTAATGATACAAACAAACAAAATACAACGTGTGCTATATATTCAACGTGTAAATTTAATTACACGATATATCTTAAATCGAATATTTTGTATATTAACCTTATACCATGCGAGTATTGCAAGTTGATATTGGGGGCGTATTTTAACGTCTGTTATCTATAGAAATTATCGTGTTGCGTAATGACTGATTAAAAGAAAGCCATTACTTTATTACCGTTATACAATTTAAATTCAGTGTGCAGCGGTATAAATTACATCGTTTCAAAGTAGCATCATGAACATTATTACATCACGGTAATTGGACGTGATCTAAACTATCCATGTACAAACTCCTTTTAATGAATTTATCTCTAGGTACCTATTTAGTAATAGCACGGTTCGTTTTTTACCGTCACTGACTCAAACTCAAAATGAATATAAAATTACGTCGGTCTATCTAAGCTTAAACCACATAAATATATATATAAAAAATATTTTAAAACTAAAATATTTTAACAATGAATCTTTTTGCTTCGTACGGCGCTTCCAATTTGAATGACTTTCGTACTTGAACGTAAATACGAATCACGTAGAGGACTGGTTACGCGATCTAGGAGGCTACAGCTAGGGCTACATAAAAAAGAAATCGATGAAAAAGGTGTATGGAAGCGTAATTCGTTAATTGGCTATAGCCAGGAAACAAAGAACAGAAAGGTTTTCGTGCTGTTTAACTGGATTTGTAAAGCACGCGTAGGGGTGGCCGAGACAGACTTTGTTCAATATAACATGCGCCGCGATATATGTGAATTCGCCGGAGTTAGTCAATACGCAGTATGGAGTGCACAAATAGCCTCGCGGCTACTCCCAGTTTACAGTGGGCGATTGAGACGAACGATTATGTTCGAAGTACGCCCGAAGAAACGGAAGTGCACGTAGTGTTGTGGCTCTCTCTCCCTCTCGACTGTACACGTTAGATTTATCTGTACGTTTCTACGTCCTAACATCACGGTTGCACCAGGGGACGCACGAATTTTAGAGGTTAGGTTAGCAACAGTGTTGTGCGTGCACACGAGGATGGATAAGCGACACAACCGGCGTGCCTGCACGTCGTTCTAACGGAATAATCCCCGGTATTGGATTAGTCGAAGAGGATGACGGTTCTACCTGCCACAGGCGTGACGTGACAGATCACGAGCTAGAATGGATTCAAACGTTTACGATGAACAAACGGACACGAGCCCGGTCGGACGTTCCTCCGATCACGATAATCGAATAATATCCGGGGAGGGGCCGTCTCCTGGACCCGGAGCCGGCCTCGAGTATGACTTATGGGAAGGACAATTTCAATTTGTTGGACAGACGCCGTCTTCTCGCGTTAGTCGACTACCTCGCCGACGAGGTCCTCGACTTACCGAGCAAGTAAGCCAAGATTGGTCGAATCTCTATCTAGAAACGATGACCATTTATTTTTAATAAGAACGTCACGATTTTAAATTGGCTCGGTCGCGAGTGTCATGCAAACGTAAGAGGAACGAGTGAGGACGAATGTATGTTTACTAAAACGAGATCATTTTGAAATTTTTGTTTTATTTAACTGC